CAAACTAATAAACAAAAACAACTGTTTCCAAGTAAATTAACAAACGACGGTTATTTTAATTGAAATTAGAATAATTATTTAAAAGAAAAGTTGCCTTAGAACAGCTTTTTATAATGGACATTTTTTAATTTAAAAAAGTGATTGTAATACCAGTTTTAATTTTTTTAATGAAACTAATTTAAATAGCAAATAAACAGTTGATTTAAACAAAAAAAAAACTCGAATATTTTTTATTTAAATAAAACGTGGATTAGTAACTAAAAACTCGTTTTTTTTTTAAATTAATTAGAAGATAATAATAATAGCCAAAATAGAAAACTATTTTATTATTATTTGAAGTTCTAAAAACTAACTATTATAAGTAATCAATGATTTGATACTTTAAAAATAAAATACCTTCAAATGATTCATTATTTTGAAGTTATGGTTTATACAAGTTTTTCAATAAAAACTGTCCGGGTCTGCAATTGACGAGCCTATTATTTTTTTTTATAAATCGTTTGCCCTCCTTTTTGGTTGCACGGTCGTTATTTATCGCAAAACAGTTTGCTAGGTACTATTATAATTTGTAGGGTGATTACAAAAAAAAAAAATCCTCGAGACAAACAGTACGGTATGTTACTTAATTAAACTGAGTCCCAATTGTAATATTAAATTATTGCATTTTTTCTAATAAAACTATTAGTTCCCGTTGTACATTTTTTTCACTGCAACCGACAGAAGAGGATATTAATACAAGTCCTTTGACCCAGGAAGGTCAAGATTACCGAGTGTAGTGATTATTTTTTATTTAGCCAGCACGAGTTAACCGAATTTGTGAACTTATGGCGTTCTGTTCATATTTTATGGACAAACGCCAACCGGCTTGCGGACTGGCATAATCGACTGGGCGAGGTTATTATCTTCGGCTATCAACTATTATTATTATTATTAATTTCTTAGTACCTGGCAAGCGTTGTCGGCCGGACGTCTACACTACACCGAAACCGCTTATTGACGTTTAATTATTGTTATTCACACGTGATGACTGATGATGGTGTTTGTCTCGGCCAATTAAAGTAACGGGCGCCGCACACTGTTAATGTTTTCTTCGGTTTTCGGTTTTTAACAGACCCAAGGCTGATGCCCGTACAGTTCAACGTCATATTTCGAAACCTAATCGTCTTAGGTAGAACCCTTATTGGCCCTTAGGAACCACAGAAATCAATGTGGCAAAAAAAAAAGTCTCAAATGTCTATTTTCGGTGATTATTTCCACCGTCCGAGTTTGAGTAACCTAAAAAATTGTTGACATCTACGGATTAGGATCCATTTCATACTTGCCGGCCCGACTAGCCGGCTAATAAGACGAACACCGTCGTTAGACAATAGACGTCTTGCCGATTAATCAGCCGCGTCCATCCGAGATACAGTGATGCGCAGAAGAAGACTTCTCCCCGAACCGGGAATTAAAGACTTAAAGAAAAAGAACAAAAAAAAAACACAATCACTCAGGTCCGACGACCGTGTAGTTTTGAACATTGATCCATATCCATACACCCTGAAACCTAACCGATATCTACCGTTTGAATTTTTGCAAATTGCAGGTGTACCAAGTCTACTAAGTAAACGGCGGTCAAGTTTGTCATTGCCGGCCGGTACGATGACCGGATGAAAAAAACAAAAAAAAAAATAGTCATTCGAACGGTTTGTTTTTTAGTGTGTCTTACACAGCAGCAGCAGCAGCAGCAGCAGCTGAGAGGTTCGTCCACCTCTCTTAAGTAATCGTCTTCTACTTCTTGGCCCCGTCGTCATTCCTGCACAGTTACACGGCAAACGTGGTCCGGCTTTGTCGACCGATCCGCTTGACCGACGGCCGGTCCGATTAGTCATAGTGCCGTGGACACGTCCGGCAAAGATGAAATCGATGGGGGATTTATCGAAATTGTATTTTATAATACATATTACACACGGAAACCGAATATGTTTTATCTTGGCCGACATAAACCCGTGTACAAAGAGTACAGATAGAAGGGCTCAGGTGCACTGCTTCTTTGCAGACAGCTCTCGAAATAGAAAATCCTTTTTACGACGTTAAGACGTTCGCTGAAAGGGTTTCAATAGAATCGACGCGCACACACACACACAAAGGGGAAAACTTTCAAAAGAGTTATAAAACTACATATACATTTTTTTTTTTTTTTTTATTCACATTTTTCCCATTCCGTTTGGCTTTGGGCGCGAAACCTCTTAACGACGAAATGATTTTTCCAATGCGGACAACAGCTGTAATCGGTTTTTTTTTTTTGAACCCGACCCAAAGTGTATTTTCCGTAGTAAGGAAATACCGTATGCAATCATTTTATTGAAAGCAATAAATCGGCAGCTATAGCACAAGTTTTATTAATCTTAAGCACACCGCCCATAACGCCAAGCGCAATCATGTTTTGTACAAGGAAAATATTCCAAGCTGTGGTGTATTTCGCACGCCAGTTGCGAAAACTTGTATCGCATTATTATTATTATTATTATTATTTATATTGTTGTCGTCCCAGCTCGCACGACCGAACAGAGATAAGACGATGGGAAAATCTTAAGTCTTGGGGGGGGGGCTGTGTCTTGAGGGGAAAAGTCAATATGTAACCTAAACACATAATACAGGACCCCGTCGTTGAGATTGGTTGGCATGCCGACGACGCTATAATATTATAATCCAGCCAATTGTGTTCATTGGCGCCTATCCTACGGTATTCAAATTTATATTGCTATATCCGTATAATCGCGTTAAGAATACAAAATGAGAGTGTAAGCCGCCCCGACGGTTCTCACGCCCATAATAAAAATAACTCTTTTTGGTGTATTTTAAGAAGAACAATTATTGTTATTATTATTCGAATCCGACGTCGTTTTACTATTATTAATAGCAATAAAAAAAAAAAACGTACAGTGTCACGGACCGCCGTTTAAAACGGTCAAGCCGGAAACAATCGATTGTAAATGAATTTTTTAACGATAATTATTTTTATGTACACAAACGATAGTGATAAAAAATATCGAAACACCGGTCGACGGACTACCGTTATGTTGTTTAATAATTCGATTAAGATGACTGATGAGAATTTAAGAAAGAAAGAAAAAAACCATTGCCGTTTACTGTCGCCGGCGTGTCTCGTTATAATTTTATGTACAACTATTTTTCTACAACAACTTGTACGCCGCTATCACTCGCCCATAATATACCGGCTTGGATGTATTAGTTATTAACACTATCTATATTCACGAACGCAACAAACAAAGGTGGGTGTGCAATATATACATACCTACATACATATGTATGCCTCTTAATTATTATCGATTAATTATCCCGGGACGGCCCCGAAAACACACTAATCAAAACGTATACAAAGTACACACACAACACCACTAATTGCGTTGTACAATTAGTGTAAATTAAAACACAAATTGAGAGGAGTTCAACACGTTTGGAACGGTGGTTTTTTTTTTTTTTAACCGTAAATTATTCACGCCCAAAACGAGTGAGCCACATTATAGTTATCATAATACTATTTTTTTAGACGACGGTTAACGGTATTCTGCCAAACTTTGGGACACGGCAGTTGATCTTAATCGCCTTGATGATCACGGATATCCATTTCTTGAGACCGTTCACAGACCAAAAGAGATTTACCCGTAATTCCCAAAACAGCTGCGTAGGTCAGTGTGGCCAACTGTTGTGTCCCGACCCGCGCGTTACCCGGTTGGTCACACTCCTCTTGTAGATGTGCTCACCAAAAGCTCGGAGTGTTGAAAACCCAAAACCCTAACTCAAAATTAATATTCTACATTATGGTCGGTAAAATAATACTTTTATTTGTATTAAGGTCCTTGACCGGTTGTCTTAAGACTATGGTTACTTAACTATGGCAGAAACGTATCCTACACCTCGCTTAGTATATTATATAACACTGTTAGTATATTAAAAGCACCGTTTGAGAACAAAAACACCTGCAATAATACTACATAGGACAGAGGTAATATATGCTCTTAGAAGTTTTAAAGTACTTATCAGAAATGTTCTCAAATTGTCTAATATTATTGTTCTATGCCACATTGCAATCATTCATTTGACATTCTACTATTTCTTTCTCAGCACTATAACTGTGTTTCGATACAATAATCTTAAATGTTATAACGATCAGCTACAACCTGTGCATTGCCCTAAGTCGTCCTCAAAGTTGTATTGCCTATTTTTCTTTTCGAAGCTTTCTTTTTTTTATCTGTCTCTGTCTATATCAGATTGAAATATCCATTCCTTTTCTAATACAAACTTTAAAGTCAATGTACATTCTATTTTAGACCTAATTATTGTGAAACCATTTTTTCTAGTTTCCACTCCTTTCATTGTTCCAGTTTAACTTCTAACACTTTTGTACTCTGATCCAAAAAATTCGCATCTCACGGTGTCCACAAACTATTAAGATGATTTTTTCTTATTCCGTCTAAACTAATCATTCCACACACCCATCTCAACATTCTCGTTTCGGCTTCTACCATTTGCCTTTCTTCTTTCAACACTCACATCCATAGAGTTCATAACTGGTTTTTCCTTTTATGGGGTTTAGTCTCATTAATTTTGTTTGCATTGATAAACAGCGAATGATTAACAATTGGCTTCAGACTCTCTACCGGCTGGTATTGGATTTCTACGGCGGAGAAACCATTCTTTCCCGGCTTCTACAATCCTCTTTTCTCACATTTAATGTCTAAAACTAGAGAGTGGCACTTTCTTGTCTTCTACAATCACGTAAAGCTCTATAAAAGTCACTCGTGCCCTATTTTGGGTTCTCACCAAGCTGTTTGAATGGCAATCAACCTAAGAAATTGTCCAATAGATTCCAAGACAGTTGTCTATCATCCTATATGTAGTAATATTGTCAATGTCAGAGAAGACGGTTGTTTTAGTGAATTCGAATGATGCAAAATTGAATTTAAAAAAAAAACCAATAATAATATACAACATACCTCCCACGTCGGCGTTGGTGATGGTCACCCAAAAGTCGATGGTCTTTTCCGGTCCCAGCTCTTCGTAGTCCCACTTCTTCTTGACCCGGACCGCGCCGTTGGGCTCGACCGTCACCCACGGGTTCTCGTCCCGGATCTTGAACGTCTCCTTTTCCGTCTCCTTCTCCAGCGGGAACACGCTGCGGCCCTCCTGTTCGCCGTCCGTCTCGGTGAACTCGATCCTCTTGGTCGGCCTCACCGCCCGGGTGACGCGCCGCTTGTAGATCCGATGGTCGCCGGCGTCGTCGTACACGTTGAAGTCCTGCATGAGTATGTCGTCGTCGAGCACCACGAAGTTGTACTGTATCCACACGGTGGCCGGTTCGACGGCCATGCGGGACGGCGTGCGCAGGTCGTGCGCGTTCACCGTCACCTGACACTCGAAGTACTCGTGGGCCCTGAGCACGTCGTCGGACACCAGCAGCTCGCCCGTCTGCGGCACCACCACCACGACGGAGCTGGGCGCGGACAGCCTGTACGCCACGTGGTCGCCGTCCGCGTCGGTGGCTTCGACGCGGCCGACGTTCGAGTACCGTCCCGGTCCGGCTGCCTCTGCCGACCCGTTGTCCAGGCCCAGGTTGAACGCGTCCACGTTGATCCGGTACAGCGTCTGCAAGAACACCGGGTCGTTGTCGTTGACGTCCAGCACTTGCACGTGGATCTTGGTGTACGCCTTGTCGATGCCGCTACCGTCGGCCGCCTGCACGATCAGGTCGTACGACGGCTTCTGTTCGCGGTCCAGCGGCCGCTTGGTGACCAGGTGCACGCCCTTGTAGTACGACTTGTTGGTGATGTTGCCGGCGATATTCTCGGCCGTCTTGAGCGTGAACGCGCCGTCGTCGTTGCCGTCCACGATGGCGTACCGTATGGGCAGCCCGGCCACGCCTTCGCCGAAAGCGTGCAGCACGGGCACGCCTTTGACGCCCGTGCCCGGCGGCCGGTTCTCCATGACCTTGCCGTCGGGGTACGCGTCGTCCGAGAACCGCAGCATCTCCCGTTTCTCCAGCACGAACACCTGCATGTTGTGCGTGATGGTCGTGTTGGGCGACTCTTCCAGCACGACCAGGCTGACCGGGCGCTTGACCAGCAGCCCCAGGTCCGTGGTGGTCATCAGCAGCCCGTCCTTGAGCACGGAGAAGAACTGCGAGTAACCCGTTTCCAGTAGCCGGAAGTACGCGTACTTGTTGTCGCTGGTGAACTGCTTGATGCCGAACCCGGGGTACACGTCGCTGGGCAGTATCGCTATGTTGTGGTGCATGTGCGGCGCCAGCGTGCCGCCGTCGCAACCGGCACCGAGCGTCCGCAAAGCCGCCGTCAGGGCCGCCGCCGCGAGCACGGCGCCCCAAGACATTCGTGCAGTCTTCATTCTATTTCTCTCTCGCTATGGTAATGTCGTTAAAACGATCCTCGTCTAGCAACGCCCAAACGGCCAACGTCCAATCTGAAACAACCAAAATACGGCACGCGCATCAGTACAACCTTAAATGCTGCCAAATTACGTAAAGAAACACCAGTTTTTATTTACAATATTGATGGTGTTGCGTTAAATATCGTTTCTCATATTTCTTACATAAAAATAAAGCTTTTAGAATGTTTGGAGTTTAATGACCTTTAGTGCTTAAAAATGCCACATTGTTCCTTTGTTAGATCAATTATTGAATATGGATCGGTCATATGGTGTCCTTATCAAAATGGGCAAGATCTGGACAAAACGCAAAACCGGTTTTTGTATATGTTAAGGTTCAAGTTGGGGAAACTGGATACAAGAATAGAGGACTTAGCGGTTGAGGTAAAATTGGATTAGCTTGCCAAAAGAAGGTTTATTAATGATGTCAAGTTTATTTGTAAGTTATCAAATAATTATACAGATTGCCCTGAGCTATTAGTTCAAATACCTTTTAATGTCCCTACACAACATACCAGATCCCCACTATTCTTTTACATTTCAACTCAAAAAACAAGAATATAGTATGCACTATGCATACTCCTCTCCAAAGGCTTTTTTCTAATTGCAATAAATTGAGTAATTTTTATTTTTTTTATGATTCCCTAGCCAAGATTCTTGCTCAATAATTATGTTTAATCTGTTATATTATGTTTCGTTTGATAATTTCTTCTCTTAAAATTTAAATTGTATTAGTTTTAGTCATGTTTTGTTACTAATGTTTAAGTTTTATGTTGAATTCTGTATAAAAGAAATGACAGTAATAAAAATAGAGATTGATAAGGATAAATCAATTGATAAGAGATATATGATAAGAATAGTCTGGTAATGAGATCAAATCACTTCAAATAAGCTCAAAATAACGTGATTTTTAAAACTTTCAATTTTATGGTAAAACGGTTCTCTACATGGGCCGTATACCGTCAAAACCCAACCCTTACGCCAAAAATGAATGGGATATTTTTTCTTTTAACTTTCATTATTTTTTTGGGTACAGTTTTCAAATTTAATATCTGAAAATGTTTTTATGTATTTGATCTGTCACCGGCAGAAAAAATATTAAAGCCCGGCGGTAAACCTATGTGATTTTCGGGAATAATATTTTTACCGGGATTTCCGGGAACGGTTACTTACTTTTTAAACCGACAACCGTTTGACGTCGATTCGGAAAAAACGGTCTTTGATTTCTTTTCCTTTGAGAGAAAAACCCCTTTGCCGGCGACGTCGCCCGAGACGATTATCGTTAAGGATATTAAAAGATTCAATATCGTTGGTTGGTTAAGCTTTTACTCTACTCTGTAGTCACTGCCAATCGTCGAAAAGCCTATTGAATGAATTTTTCAGCTGTCGGGTTTTATCAAACACCACTTACAGCGAGAGACTACTGGGAAAAAATATATACTGGATTTATAAAGCTTAGTGTCATTACTTGTTTCAAATTCGAGGAACTAATTTTACTGCGTGAGATGTTTTTTTTTTTTTTGAGAGACAGAGAGAGAGAGTCTTAAAGATTCTTCGCCAAAATAAATATCACACTGGAATTGTCTTACTTTTAGACTTTAAGAATTTAAGAGTTTGTGGCAATCCTGTAAAAAATCATTAACCGTTTCCTCTCATAAAAAATGTATCATATTGTATGCTATATATCATCTATTGGTAGCTGAGTATACTCAGTTTTCTTGAAAACGTTTTTATCACACTGTGTATATCTAAAGATAAAACAAAGAAAGCGCATATATCCTTATATACCCTGCAGCTTGATGTATCTGCATGAGGTGTGGATACTATTAACTTTATTTTCAGAATGAAGCCCATAAGACATATCCATGTCAAAAAGATGAGATATTTTTTCTCGGTTTCTCCTTTTTTTTAATGTATTTTTTTAGACTTGAATACTGGAAATTAAACCGAAGTTCGACCAAATATATTATTATTATTGCCCCTGTAACGATTTTTAATAATGATTTACCGATTCGCTTCGAAGCCCGTATAAATAGATATAGGTTAGGTCCTTTGGGCCATATTAATTGTTGATTTTCATTTGAAAAAACAACTTTGTTTCGCCAGAATATAAGCAAACTTTTTGACGATTTTCATCATCCCCACTCGGCTTAATTATTATGAGAGCAAAAGTTTTAAACGACGCCCTCGGCGATCGGAACGGCGGTGCGTTTTAATTATTAACATGGACCATACTTGTGTAATAAATTTTACTTATCTCCAGGGGTAATCAAAAAGAAAAGAAACAGCAGCATATTTTTTATTTTATTTTTTTTATAACGGAGCTAAGTTAATTAAAATATATAAATGTAATATATATATATATATATATTTTATAATAAAACATGTACAGAACCCAGTTGTCCTATTCATCATCTGTTCGTCGCCATTAATTTCTTTCCTGCACACATCTTAATGCGATTATATTTTAATATAACATCCACTCGCTCACTTTTTCTTCGGTTTATCTCCCCTCATTAGATTTATCTTCCGTCTTACAAAATGCTCAAAATCCATCTTAATCCATTATCTCCCTCATACTACCTCTGCTATTTCTCCCCTCTTAATCGTTTTTTTTCTTAATAACACTAACGGTCGGCTTTTTCACCTAACCTAACTTAACCATCGGAAGAGAGCATCACTTAGTCTGTTTCCAATATCTAAATGTTTTTTTTCTTCTTTCAAACAATAAAAACACGGTTTAAGATTACTCGACAAAACCAATCTCTTAAAATATCTATCCAACTAAATCACACTAATGGAAACAAATAAACTTGAGTATTTACTCACTTTGGTTTGACAATACTATTATTATTGTTGACTTATAATCACAAACTGTTTTAATCTCACCTTGTCCCACACAGGACCCTCAAATAATGTGGCCCTACAATACTAAAGCTCGAAAAGCTTTAATTTATTAAAACCGAGCCTAAAAATTACAAATCACGGATCGTTAAGGAACATCAAGTTAGACCAGAATTACGGTGCCATTTTTTTTCTTCAATTTTGACATTATTCTTGCAGATATTTGGTATTTATCCAAAACTAAAAGGGTTTTATTGGGCCTATACCAAAGTGTAGTATGCCTGAAAAAACTGAAATGGGTCTGAACTCCAAACCTAGAGAAATCGAGTAGTATGAACACAAAATGAAAGGTACTTTCTTTCAAGGCGATCCTATGGTCCTTTACACGCGTATATACTTTCGGTTTTCCCGTTGTTGGCGCAACTCCCAAACTACTTTTTAAAAACCCATATCCGTTTGTATTGTGTTTCCACTATAAGAAGAAAAAAAAACCCATTAAAACCGTTGCTGCGATGAAGTACCATACACAAACTGTCGAGGACAAAAGCCCAGCGAACGGGATAATATTATTATTTTTTGTTTTTTTTTTTTTTTATTGTATATATTATATACCTACTATTTTTAATGCACTAAAACGTTGCCCCCGGTAAAATCGAAACGACTAACGAGATGTGACCGCTCTTCGTGTAACATTAAACCATTGTGGCGCAATATATATGGTAATATCGTTAATGGTATACGTGAAAACGGCGAGGGGGGGGGGTGAGGAGAGGGTATGTTTCGTGTCATTGTTTACCTGGAACGACATAATAATATTATATCATGTAGGTACACACACACACACACACCCCCGACCATCGGTGGAGGACCTACCGCCGAGTTAAGCCCCGTCTAGAAATTTTGGGCGGTATCAGTGTAAACTTGTGTAGAGCGAGAAAGAAAACCCGTGGGAGTAACAAGCCAGGGAAAGAGGTAACATTTCGATTTTCGGAAAGGCTTTTATACTCAACGTTTATTGTGTTCGGCAGCAGTACCTATATTATGTGTACACACTGCACACGCGGTACATGATATGTATGTATACATAACTCATAAGTAACGCGAGTTAACTAATTCATAAAGGTTTTCCAGAAATTGCCGCGAACAACCACACCAAAGTGCACACACCAGTAATAGTAATAAAAAAAAACGGCTTATCCTGTTTTCCCTTTAAAAGGACATTGTCGATACGTAATAGGATTCGGGGACCAACCCCAAAAACCCGATTTCCCGGCACTCCCGGATCCCATTACCATCAAAGCGAACAATGTTCTGGAATTTACCAGCTATATATATATATATATATATATATATATTAAAACGAGGCAGGAGAGAAACTGCTGTGTTTACTGTAACAATATTGGCTTACTAAAAACCTTTCAAAGTTACCTGAGCTCAAAAAAGGTCGGTGTCGAGGCGAGTTATGAAAATACCACGCCACAGATTCAAAAACTAGCACTAACAACTTTATGGGTTCAATAACGATACATTTGTAGTCAATGTAGATCAATGAATTTAAATGACTAAACAACTGTTGTTTTTTTAACAGTATATTCTCAATATACATAATTTATTTAAACATACACATTTTT